ACTGTCTCAGATGCCAGTGTGCTTCTGTTCCCACCTCCGTGTCTTGCAAGAGTTAAACTATTCCCAATACTGAAAATCCCCTTAGTGCCTGTAATTGCATAATTCAATCACACATTGCGGAAGCCAGTGAAATTTGAATTGTTTCTCAAAACAAATTAGGTTGAGTGTTTTGGGAAGACTTAATAAAGAAGGTACATAAAAGGTTACAGAATGATGTGAAAGGTTGTGGGAGGTCATAAGTACACGATTAATTCTGCAATTGGGCTCTTCCAAGATTTTTTTTTTTCAAGTTCTTTTTCTAAAGAAGCTGAATCCTGATTCACAGGTGATGTTAATGCATGATGCCAATGAGCAGACCCACCCGATATTAATAATAGCTTTGGCTCTATATTATTCATATTGAAATAAAAGGAAGAGGTATGTACACATCAATTATAATTCTCAGGTATAATCACCTTCTAAAACTAACTGACTGCTGCTTCCAGTCAAATTAGAAGAGAGACCTGACTCTAATTCCTTATAGAGACACACGCTAGGCAACAAATGTTCCAGCCTAGAGGTGACAACAGGCATGCAGATGTGAGGAAGTCGGAAGTCTGCACCATGCAAGGCCCTTCCTGAGAGGATGAGGCAAATAGGCTGGTAGACCGCTCTAGGGGATAGGTGAGCTTTTATTTAAGGGCTACAGGAGGGCATTGGTAACACAAGGCCATGATCTTCTTGCCACTCACGTCAGGGCAAAGTTTTCCCCAACACAGAGGAAAAGGATTCTTCCTTCCTAGATTCATGACTGGGGCAGGAAGGAAAAGCTGTAAGGGTCAGGACAGATGTTTGTCTTGGATACTACATTACATCTGATGGAGCTTTTGATGTCACCTCCACATAACAGTGGACAAATAATCCTTTGATTTTCTTTTATATTAAAAGAATTAATTTACTAAAATTATCATTTAATTTGTGCTCAATTTGTGAAATACTCTGGTCTTTTCTTCATATTTTAATACCTTAGGAAGCTCAAAAGAGAGAGCTGGACCTTCTTGGAGTCTTGCAATCTCTCTAAGCACCCATCTCTTCACCTGGCCACAGGACGGACTCCTCATCCTTCGCATTGCAGACTTTCTTATTTTCCCCCTTGTCCACAAGAGAGAGACATTTATGACCCGCCCATTTCACATTCTTTTACTGCTGTACCCTGCCTTTTACATGTATTGTAACCATGATGTTTGTATTTCTGACTTGCACAAGGGTATTAAAACAGTTTTTCTTTGGTCTGCTTGCCCATCTTTGCCATTTTCCATCTCTTGTTTCTTTTCTGCCCGGCTCTGTGTTTTGTACATTCATTTTTCCCTTGAAAATAGACTTAAGAGTGTATGTTTAAAAGTGTTAGGTTCACATACTGTCTAAAACTTTAACAAAGAAATGATATCTTGTCAATTTATCTATGTCCAAAAGGAGCTTGAATTTTAAAACCTGACAAAAGCAAACATAGGGTTTGGAAAATATTTTCTTAGATGTAGATATAGATGACTCATCTACAGCAGGAAGGCAGAACAAGAAGTAATGGTTCATTGGTGACCAATGAGGCATGACTGAGCTCAGAGCAATAGCTGGCATGGACTCTAGACCAGGGTCCCAAATTTAGGTTCTGCTACACTTTGTATATGATATGTTCCTAAAAGTCCATGCATTAAAGTCCACACTTAGTAGCCTGTGGTGATACTGGGAGGTCGTGGAGGCTTTAGGACGTAGGACCTAGTGGAAGGATGTTAGGTCATTGGAACAATGCCCTTGAAGGAGAACTGGGACCCCACCACACACCCCAGTGTATTTTCTCTGCTTCCTGACTGGCAGAAGGCGAGTAGTTTTCTCTGGAATATGCTCACACCATGATGTTCATCCCTGCAACAGGCCCAAAGAGAATAGGGTCAGTCAGCCGTGAGCTAAAATAACCATAATCAGGTATTTTGTCACAGCAATGGAAAGCTTACTAACATAGGTTCTAGAGTGTAAACATAGGTTCTTGAAGTGTTTTCTGGAAATGTAAAATCTTAGGGCCACCGTCAGAAACTCTGATTCCATGGGACCAGAATAGATCACAAACTGCTGACAAAAATATAGGGACTACATATAGCTTGGTAGCTTTTGGTGCCTAATAGCTGAGAAATATGGGGCTGGGTCCTGGGTTTGAAGGTAGTTAACCGCATAGCACCAGACAGGGCAAATTAACTTCTCTGAGCTTCTGCTTCCCAGGCTATAAAAGACAGGGTAGTAATAATGGTGGAACTGGCTGTGGTGAAAAATATCAATTTTTTTCCTTCTTCTTTCTAACTACTTCTTACCTCTCCAACTTAACCCAAAAGTACATTACCTTGGAAGGGATAGGAATAGAGGAAAGATATGAAAATTTGTTTCAGAATATTTGTAAAGAGAAAGGACTTGATATTGAGATTATGACCTTCAAAATAAGATTATGCAGAAATATCATTTCTATGAGAGTATTTCCTTTATCCATTCCTACACACACCCTTTTCACATACCTCACAAAAACCTACAGAAAATCAAATACAGAAGTTTTAAGTCATGAAAATTCTCTTATAATTTAGAAAATAGACCTTCTATTGATAGCAGCCAGGCACGAAGTCTGTAGTAGAATGAGGGTATGTTAGAGGGAAAAATAGAGAACTCCAGCCCTCTTTGTTTTTTGTGTTTGTTGTTGTTGTTGTTATTGTTTTTAATTTGTTTTTTGAGACAGGGTTTCACTATGTAGTTCAAACTGGCCTTGAACTTACTATGTAGCCCATGATGGCCTTGAACTTGAAGCAATCCTTTTGCCTCAGCTTTCCCAATCCTGGGATTGCAGGCGTGTGCTACCACGCCTGGCCCTTGCCCTCTTTAGTTGAGGGAATTGCAGAAAGGAGGACAGTAACACTGAGAAGAGAGCAAATAGAGCTGAGATGAGTGGAGACAAAGGGGGTGTGCGCACTTCCAGAGAAGAGGGATCCAGGATTGGCCCCCCTCCTTCCCAATTACCACCTGGACCCAAGCTTTAGTTGAAGCTCTGTTTGGTCTATGAGAGCAGAGGGGAGGGGCAGAGGTGGACTCAGCTGATGTTGGGTGAGTCTGGACAGCATACTTTTCAGCAGACTTCTGGCGATTTTATTGTGTATGGAGTTTGAGAACCACTGGACTTCAACAGAGTGGACGCCTGGGTTCCTCAACCCTGCTTTTTAAGCCCTTGTGCAAATAAATAGACTAATTACAGACAAAAGGAAGAGGCTCATATACCTTAGAGCACCTGAGCATAGTGGCTTTATTTGACATGCTCACTATACAAATAAAAAGACTTTTTAAAGAGCTCTTCTCTAAAAACTACTGTAGCCAATGTGCAGCCTAAAGTTTGTGATTCTCTGGCTAAGATTCCAAAAATGCAGAAATAGGCAGAGAAATAAAATCGAGATTTTAGCTAACATGATTACAGTTCTCTCTTTAACAACAACAAAAAATTATTTTCACCTAAATTAGGATGAGATAAGCCCATCAAATAAAAGTGTTTTCTTAAATAGCTGGTCATTAGTTGCAAATTCTGGTGGGCTCTCTTCTTGGTGTTGGAAGTGGTACAGTAGTGTGGGATGCTGGTTAAGGCAGAGGCTCTGGAGTCAGAATTAATGAAGTTAGAATCCTGGATTTATCCATTACTAACTGTATAACATAATGTCCTCTCAATCCATCCATGTTTCCACAATTCAAAAGTGACAGGAGATATGTAGATATAGATGATATAGAAATAGGAATAGGTATAGGTATAGGTGTAGGTGTAGTTATCTCACATTTTATGTACCCATCCAGCCATGACAGATGGCTCAGTTAATTCACCTGGGGAATTTTTTATAAAACTCCAGCATCTGGACCCTACCAGAGTTTCTAGTTTTTCAGAAGAGGGGAGAACCTAGACTGATGTTTTTAAAGGCTTCCAGATGATTCCAAAAGGAAGGCAAGATTGAAAATCACTGACATGTGTGTATAGCATAAACTATGCACTAGGTCTGTTACCCTAACAAGGTATTGCCTCTGATAGGTGGTCTCTAACATCCCAATTGGAGCCACCACACTTTCTATTTTTAATGCCACAACCACATATGGAGGGCTTGCTAATTAGCATAAGGAAGGTCAGAAATTGTTTTTCATTGATAAAATTAATAACCTGTTTAAAAAATATTATAAATATTGTCTCTTTACCAAACAGTTGATATGTAAGCTATGTAAATTGACCAAAATATTTAAGCAGAGTAAAGCCAGTAGGTCGAGGGTTGACAAACTCTCTATAAAGTTCCATATACTAAATATTTTAGGCTTAATGGAGCAAACAGACAAATCAAGTCATAACAGCACCAGTGAGATTTCACACAGTGCAGGAGTGCGAACAGCACAAGGACCACATGCAGTTTCTCTGGCCATTTCTGCAGCGGTAGATTTGCCACAGCAAAAGGCAGCCACAAACAGTGCATGAACAAATGAGCATGGTTTTGTATCATTCTCACGTGTCACAAGTTATTCTTCTTTAGATTTCTTGTCAAGTATTGAAAAAATGTAAAACTCAAAAACAAGACATAAAAATCATTCTAAGCTTGTAGGTCATGCAAAAAAGAGGTGACACATCAGATGTGGCCCATGTGGTATCTGTCGTTTATTGTCCTCTTCCAGAGTCCTAAGCACCTACCTCCTTGGGGAAGTTCTTAGCCTCTTCTACCTCCCCGGTTGTGACTAGCTTCACCCCAAGTAGAAGGACAGAACCCCACCAACACCACGCAGTCAGGTCTGCCTTCAGTGAACCTTTCTTGCAGGATGACAGTTAAAATTCCTAAGTGCCTTTAGAGATCACATGTTCTCATTTTGAGCTGGGCTTGCTATCAAATAGAGATCCTCAGAATGTTCGTTTGTTCCTCCCCCTGGCTTGCTTCCTACATGTTCAGTTTGTTTTCCTAGTGTATAGTAAGTGAAACTAAACATGACTCCGCCCCTCTGAGCTAGCTGTGATCCTTAGTTTCTTACAAGAACCTGGAGCCTGACTGACATGGTGCAGTCATACCCTGACCAAACCATGTCCTCTGTGCAGACCCTCGGAGGCCCCAGCCCTGGGCAGACCTGTGTGTTGATTCTGATCTTCACCGTGCTCCTGCAGTCCCTCTGTGTGGCTGTGACTTATGTGTACTTCACCAACGAGCTGAAACAGGTCAGTACAATGCAGGCTTAGCAACTGTTGGGTTCCCTGCCTGTCAGCCTCTCAGCTTGCTTCTCCTTGAAAACTTTACTGCAAAAAAAAAAAGTTTGCTTTTCTGTCGGCAGATTCTGCCTGCTAATGCATATAATTACTGAGAACTTTGTAAAAGCATGAGTTCAAAAGATGTGTAAACCAAATACACTTGCAGAACTGGTTCTACTAGTTACAATCAAATGTGGGCAACAAAACGCCTGAGGGTTTTTGTTAGTTTTTTTGTCTTAAAAAGTGTATGTATTTTATAATATTAGCAGCGGCTACCATTCATGAGTGCTTTCTGCCAAATGCGTTGTAGCTCTTGATTCCTGCAGGCAAGGGTAGCTGGGTCAGGGCAGCGGCTGTGTCTGCTCATTGTCACACCTCTGGGTCGAGCGTATGGCTCCCATGTAGGAAAGTGTTCATGAGATACTTGCTGAGCGAGCACACAAGTGTGAAAGGTGCCTCTGATACACACGCAGCAAGCCAAATGCTAAGCCATGGAGTACTGCTCTTTTGCACTGCAGATGTGCCTAATCTCAGTGGATTGTAGACAGACATAGCAGAAAAGTCAGCCCTGGGCCCTGTACAGACAGACGCATTCCTAGTGAACTGCTTGTTTGTTCTCAGACTTCATGGCCGCTTCTCTCTCCTACTCCTTTCTTTTAAATTAGTTGATGGAAAGCCTTCACACAGAGAAGTCAGTCTTTCAAACATGAGCAGATAGAGTACTGTACATGTGAACTAAAATCAGAACCAAGGCTTAGAATGCCAAATTTCTGCTTCCTCCAAGATTAGGAGTAGGGTGGAGGAAGCCAGATCTTTGGAATATGTTTGTTTTTTAGAATTGTGTCTTCCTGTGTTAACAATAGTGAGTGAGAATACAAGGAACTGGTTTTCTGCCTGCCCCTTGGACCTGGATGTGGCATGGATAAATTCTAATAGAGAAGTTATCAGATAGACTCAGCATTTGCCTGTTCGTACCATTTTATACCTGGGAATTAGCCCAAGTACAAATACAGAGAAAAAACTTACTGTCATTTTACTGTAGGTATTACCCAACCGTATAGAGCTTCTGAAACTATGAATGCAAAACTTGTAGATTTTAGTTTCTTATGTACATTATGATCATATATATATGATTATATGATCAAAGTGTGTCATATATATGACACAGAGTCTCATTATGTAACCCAGGCTGGCCTCAATCACAGTGATCCTTCTGCCTCAGCCTCTGAGTACTGGGATTACAGGCGTGATGCACTGCCATGCCTGACTTTGACTAATCACGTATAATAGAGAACTGAGAGCTGGGAGGAACTTTGGATACCCCACTCCCACCCTCTCAATCCCCATTTTACAGATGAGATGGCAGAGAGAAGTGGAGCCCTCTCCCTTAATTGATCCTTCATGCTATTTGTGGTTTGTGGGAGTGATTGTCAAGAGTAAAGTTCGGGCAGCAGAGGGTCAGTGCTGCTATCTCAGAATCTCTGTGCCAGTAAAGGAGTCTCTTCTGCTGACCTCAACCACCAGACTGTTTGGAGCTGGACTAGCCAGCTACCATATTTTGAGGGCACCAAGGGCAATCACCGTGGAAGGCCACTTCTCAGAACAAAGGGCTTCCGGAGTTGGAGAACAGGCTTCCCCTGTAAGAGCTATCTTTCAACAATCACACAGCCACCTACCCCCAGCACTCACATGTGGTTCGCTAGACAATAGCCCCAGCTTGCAATGTCCTGAGATAAAAAGGATGCAGAAAATAAGGGGGAGAGACACATCAAATTAGTCATCATTTATTCTTGGAATAACCACAACACACAAATTGCCACATATTCTGTCTCCAGCACTGGCCAAGCTCTGCAGAACTATCAAGTATTACCATAAAGAAGACAAGGGTACCATGTGAGAGCCATGAGAGTGGCTGAGGCTTCCTCTTCAGCCTTTTGTTCAGAAGTCAATACTTATGCATAAAAATGTCTAAAAAGAAAAACACCAAAATGTTAAAACCTGTGATCTCTAGATAGCAAGATAATGGGTGCCTTTCTTTCTTTCTTTATATTTTATAAATTTTCTACAGTGACTGTCACAAAAATATCTTTGCAATCATATCTGAGTTTCATACAGATTTAAAGAACATGACATTTGTATTCAGTCTTAAGAGAAAACAGCCGTGCACCAAACTGCACACACAGTCTCACCTCCACCCCATAAACAAGAGGTCATCCAAAGGTTAATGAGGAGATGGGGTGGAGCTGTGGGCTCTTTCCGTGAACTGATTTGCAATTTTGTCTGTTTGTCTTTGTTCTACATTTTTAGGTTTGGGAGTTGTTTTTTTCAACTTTTTATTATTATTATTATTATTTTTTTTTTTTTTTTTGAGACAGAGTCTCACTATGGAGTTCAGACTGGCCTTGAGCTCACTTTATAGCTGAGACTGGTCTCGAACTCACAGCTATCCTCCTGCCTCAGCCTCCGGAGTGCTGGCATTACAGGCATGCACCACCATGCCCGGCTAATTTTAACTTCTTATAAAGCAGACTTTACTGTTTACATTTTCATAGTTGTCTGTGTATCTTGAATGTATCCAGGCTTCATTAATTTTTGAGCAATAATGGAGTGACTTGTCTACCTCCTGTCTTAGGCTGCTGCTAGCCACCATACCTGCCTGATCACAGTGGCAGTCACCTCTACATGTCTGCCCATAGCCTTAGCCTGCAGGCTCTCAAAACTTTCCTAATGAGATAGTTTTCCTAGTGAGATAGTTTTTTATTTAGCAGTTCTTGGGAACCACTCCCTCCCTGCTAGGCACACCTTCCTGTCCCAACAAGTGCCAGAGGTTAATGAGCTTGTTTGTTTGGTTTAATCAGTTTCCTCAGACTGACTGGTCAGGAATAGTGTCAAGAAAATTTTTTCTCCTTGAAAAACGTTTGTGTTTCCAGCTCTTCGTGTCGTCTTCTCTGTTCCTCTTATTTAGTTTGCTTGACACCCTCTCCTAATTCTGAACCATACGTAACTAAACTGCTTCCTTGGAAAGGCTTTTCAGCTGTAAGTAAATGGGACAGACAACTACGTGTTTGCAGTAGAAGTGTCTGGGGTGGGTAGAGGCAAGGAAGTGCAATCTAATTCCATGGTCAATCAGCTCAGCTCAAGTGCACTCAGCTGTCATGCTTAACAACCTCTCCTGGGGGAATGTCCTACTCTTGTAATTTTAAAAGAGAAGACTGAAAAGAATCATTTGTTTTAAAGTAAATGAATACTAGGGTACATGGAAGGGATTCATTAACTCAGGTTTGTACTTTTGCACTTGGAGTACCTTGGTCAAAAGTACAAGGGACACATGGCCACAGACAAGACTGAGTGCCTCTACCCAAGACTTTCATCAGCAGTAAGGTAGTTTTTATTTAACATGAGATTGTTTTTCTCTAGGTAGGAATGGACTATCTTTAAGTCTGCTCCCTTCTCTAAGCTGTTTAGTACCTTACCTCCAAATAACAGATAAAATTATTATTATCCCATTTTTTCCCCAGATAAAAGCAACTCAAGACTTTTTACAGGAAAATAATATTTATTAAACCCTGATTGTTAGAAAAACAAAATTAAATGGAAAAGAAGTGAAAAAGAAAAATGTCTGGCCTGTGAGGTCTTTTTGTTTTCCTTAACTAATCTGATAACAGCCTGAAGCATTCTAGGTGGTTTAGGGTGTGTGTGTGTGTGTGTGTGTGTGTGTGTGTGTGTGTGTGTGTGTGTGTGTGTGTGTCTTTATAACATCAAGCAAGGACTTGTTGCCAAAGGTGAGGACTTTGCAGTCAATGATCTTTCTTCCTCAATCAGAAGGAGGAAGCAAACATTCACATGATTTTTAAAGTCTCTGCAGATAAATGTCTGGCTAGTGTGGATATTTAATGGGGCATTGTACAGATTTCTAATGGTAAGGTGGTTCAGATATTGCTATCCAAAGGACTAAAAATCGTATCAATAATTGGAATCAACTCAGCCACCAAACCTCTAAGAAAGAGAACATTATTCACATGCCAAAGACTGGCTAATTTCACTTAGGATCTTAGAATTTAAGCCAGCTCCACTGGCTATGTTGTATTTAGGTGGGTTTCAGCTCTGGAATTAGATTCACAGCATGTCAAAGCTGGAAAGGACTTCAGACATCATCACATGTACCTGCTCAGAACTAAGGAGGAGCACACACAGAAGAGGAGCAGCAGTGCGTCTGGGGACATCCACCTAATTAGCGGTGAAGGCAGTGAAGGGACTTGTGACCCAGGGTCTCTTACCCACACCTGCATTCTTCCCACCATATTCAGTTTTAACCAAAACACAAAGGACAGCATGCCTATTTTATTTAAAACATGAACTTATTCAAGGTGCCAAAATTTTCTGAATCTATCATCAGTTTCTGTTGTTTTAACTTCTAAATGGTTAAAAAAAAAAAACCCTCTTATGCATAATATTGTGCTATATTCCATCTTAACCCAGATACAGGACAAGTACTCCAAAAGTGGCATTGCATGTTTCTTAAAGGAAGACCACAGTTCTTGGGACCCCCATGACGAAGACAGTATGAATAGTCACTGCTGGCAACTCAAGTGGAAACTACACCAGCTCATTAGAAAGGTAGGTAATCGAACCAGCAGGCATACAAGGTCAGAAGACAGCGAATTTTTAAGATGATCAAGTCTAGATTGTGCGCTGTGCGAGTGAGGAAACTGAGACCCAATGTGTTTAAGTGATTTTCCCCAAATTCATAGAGCTAGGAAAATGGCAGGTCCCTGCTGACCCCGGGTCTAGAGCTCAGTCCTCTACCCCAAACAGCAGCTTCCTCCTCTAGTCTAACCTTTTCATTGCACTCAGTGCGGACTGAGACACACACAGGACCATGTATTCATGGTCACATAGTAATCAGGGATGGGTGCTTTCTTCATTCAGAAGGTAAAAGAAGCCAAATAATAATCTTTTGTATTCTTCCCATATTGTTGATACCCAAAACTAAATATACATTTATTTATTGTTTTGTGTCCATGTAGAAATGACAAATGGAAGAAAAAGAGATACATTAAGAAATAAAAGGTGATGATATTTTAATTTACAGTCAATAAACAACAAATTACAAAGCAGCCGTTCATAGAAGTTGCTTAAACAGGAACTCTAGCAGAACACTGTGTTAGCTAATGGTTAATTTCACTAAATATGGTTAACTGATTTTACCCTGAGCAATGTGATATCAAATTAATGTCTTCTCTGGCCAATCCCTTTTTGTAAGATGGCATTTAGCAATATTTGCCTTTAGCCTTGTTGAAAAGGTCAGATGAGAACACGGATATTAAAAATGCTCTGTGACCTAAGAAGCCCTATGCATATTAACATTGTCTAAAGATACACTGGGGAAACTCCCAGGGTGGGAGGAGGACGTAGCTTAGACTTGTTTTTTAAGTCTGTTGTTTGTCTGATGACCACTCTCCCCCTTAGAAGCAGGCTTTGTTGATGGTTATAGAGTCCTGGGGTACAGCCTTGAGCAGTCCTCACAGGTGTGAACATCGCCTATGGTACTGTTTCTATTGAAATGAAACTGGATTTCCTCCTGGGCATCCCAGGAACACATCTGTTCCGTGACTTCCCCGGAAGCGTGGCCTGGGCCTGGGCCACCCACTGCCCACAGCTGTACTGAAACAGCTGTGATTGCTCAGGAGATGAGGACCAAGCAAAGCCTAGAATGAGGAAGGCTGCTGTAGACCCTCAGAAGTGAAAGTTTGAAGTCCCTGGGCCCTGGGGGCTGGGGCGTTGGCCCAGCTGTAGGGAGAATCTGCCTTCAGAGGTAGGGCAAAGATCTGCAGGCTGAGGAGCCGCTCATACGCGGGGCTGGCACAGGGGAGACCAGGGAAGTAGTGGGGATGGACTACAGTATGTAGCATTTTCCTGTGGTCGTCTCTGTCCCTCCCAGACATGCACAGACACCAACTAGGGCACAGAGAAGCGTGGAGGGGCTCGGGGAGAGGAGACAAGAATTTTCCATTCTGTTCAGGCACATCAGTTAAACATTCTATTTCCCTAACCACCCTACTTCCATTTTGTACATTATCTCATCAAATCCTCACAACAGCATCGCTAGCCTCATATACACACTGTTAAATTGAGGAAGACGGGGAAATGCAGATCAGCTAATACCTTGCCCGGTCTCACAGAGCTGGGAAAGGAAAGACTAGATTGACTCCAGGCTATCAACTCTGCTTGTCATCTCTCCTCCCTGCCGCTTCTAAACACAGTAAGAATGACTTTTCTCCCCTTCCCCTGCTCCTCCCTGTCCTTCCCTTCTGTCCCAAAATGAGGGAGGGAAAAGAGCAAGAGTGAGGAAGATCGAGGGACCCACAGAGAAGTGAGGGGGAGGAGAGAGAAAGACGGCAAATGTTCCCTCTCGTTCCCCTTTTCCTGCACCAAGGCCCTCGAAGACCCAGTCAGCGTCCCTTCTGGGCAGGACTTGAGGCAGAGGGAGAGCACAGGGCTTCTTTCCATGGGAGTACTGAGAACTCAAGTTCTAGTAGGTACAAAATTAACAGCAGAGACAGGGAAAGGAGGATAGTGACAGCCCAAGTACTCGGAAGGGTGGGAAGCCATGGAAGAAGCTGGGTGTGGTGGGGATACCTATAATCCCAATACTTGGGAGGCTGAGGCCGGAGGATTGTGAGGCGGGGGCAGCCTGTGCTACACAATGAGACGCTTGACTCAAAAAAAAAAAAAAAAAAGCTGTCAATAAGCTAAGTCAGTTTCTATTCATTTAATAGAAAGGCTTAGCTTTCACTCTTTTACTGGTTTGGGGAATTCACTAAATTGTTAGCAAAGATGTAGGAACTTGGGGTTATAGCTCTACCCTGAGCACAAATGCTTCAGAAGAGAATGGTGCTGCCCGGTCATAGCTTGGTGGGCTGTGTGTCTGTGGGCATCATGAAGTGTGCTTTTGGTCATAAGGCTTGAGTCTGTCCAATCATTTCAAGTGTGGGCTCTGTTTCACAGGATTCTTACACACACACCAGCATGCACCCAGACATATATCCCCCTCACAGAAAGTAATGTGATATGACTGCCACCTTCACTGGCCACATGGAAACCTGGGGAACATGAGGCTGACTTAACTTGTCAGATGTCCCTTCCTCTTGCACTGTTCCACGTGAGACCTTTCAAAGACTTCATCCGGGTGTAGAACTTTCCCAGGCAGGGTACAGTTGCTTCTTTAACCACTGTGTAAGGACAGATATCCCAGTACTCACCCAGCTCCCGCCCCCACACACACCTTGTGCTTTAACAACTTAAAGCTTCCAAGATTGACGTCTCATGTAGAAATGTCCTGTTAGGCATGAGTAAGAAGAGCCGTAGACAGTCTGTAGTCAGTTTAAAAATGTTTAGGGACATTAACAAGCTTTATTCAATACTATTTGCAGATGACTTTGACAACCTTTGAGGAAACCATTCCTACATCTCAAGGTAGTAATTTTTTTATTACTTTAACTTGTTACTGTTAATTCATGAGAGGGTGAATGGTTCTCTGTACTCCTCTCTGCTCCCACCCACACATCCCGTCTCTGCTCTGCTGCTCGGCGTCCCGAGCCACTTACTGATCCTATTGGAACTCTTCGCACTGGCTGCTGGAAAGCTCAGAGCCAAATCTGTGACACACCTATGGTCAAACTTTATTTCCTCTTAATCTTACTTTTTCCATATGAATTTTCCTTTTACTTCAGTTTACTTATTTATTTATTTATTTTGCTTCTAATATGCTATAAATAAGCCATTGTGAATCTTTTCTAAAACATCCCAAGAAATAAAACAAATAAAATCCCCTAAATTTACCCATCTTCCATGCTTCCGACCACAACCAGACTCTGCCTCCTTCACCCAAAAACCTCTTGCCACGTTGTGCCTTCCTCGAGAGTTTCCTAGCCACTTGCAGGCTTCCTCCTGTGGTCTCCATGGGGGCCCGCTTTCCTCCACAGGGTGGTAGCCTCCCCTTGAGCAATGCCCCCTACCTACAGCTGCCCAGGCTGGAGTCTCCCCCACTCTAGCTGGCTTTTTCTGTTCCTGGCTTCTCCTGCTCCTTTATGGTTTGGCTATTGTCCTCTCTTCCTTCCCAGAGGCCTTTCCTGGCCACCTTTCTAAATAAGTTCCCTAAACCTTATTATTTCAATCATCAATCATACTTACCTTGATTTTATATATATATATATCTATACATATATATATATCTATATATATATATATATTCTTTCTGCTTCTCTATGAGACTAAATGTCTTCAAAGATGGAAAACATGTCTGTTTTTTTATCTCTTAATACGCTTAATAGGTTCTTTTTCTCCCAGGTTCTTATTCTGTCTGTCTGTCTCTCTGCCTCTCTCTCTCTATCTCTTTCTTTTTCTCTCTCTTTCTGTCTCTGTATGTGTGTTTGTGTGTTTGTGCCCACATGTGTGTATTTTGTTGCTGAGATGAAATTCATATACCACACAATCAACCACTTAAAAGTGCAGTATTCCATATAATTGGTACATTCACAATGTTGTACCAACACCACTTCTCTATCTGGGAGGTTCTTAATTATATTTTTGGAATTAATAAATGAGTACACACAAAAGAATATCTCTCCAAGCAATTCACCATATTCCCGTTTTCTCATGCTAATGGCCGTACAAGCCTGAATGCATATGCAGAAGCCTGGCAGGAAAGAACTTTTTAATCTCCTCATCACTTGAAAAGCCCTATTTTCCTTTATTAAATACAAAGGCAAGGCCTGCCCATGGGATTTAAGCATTCTTTCTGATTGCCTTTCCAGAGGTCAAAGCCCTAGTGAGAATGTCGAACACACTACCTGTTCTGACAAGGTGTATCAGAGCTATAGCCTACAATGGATATACACACTATTTTTCATGTCAGAGAATCGTTTTATTTTTCACTCATCCCTGTAAGGTGTAGAAATCACGTTCTACTCTGGATATCAAGATGCAACCATGACACCCAATGCACATATTCATGTTTCTTTCCCGTGAAGTGTTTACCATAACCAGTAGGAAATTTCCTCTCTTTCAAATTTGCTTTCAAATCTCGGCTTTCCCATATCCTTCCAATGACCTCAAGTGGGAACTGGATTCAGTACTGAATATTTAAAACAAAGGGTTAGAGGGTGGCAAGGCATCATGAATTATTTAACAGTAAAGGATAAAGGTAAATGGACGTGCCAACCTTGAGCGGAGAGCATTCTGAAACTAATGTGTAAGACTAGGCATCTCCATCTACATTTGTCTTCAGCATGGTGTGAACGCCCACCCATCCTGAATAATTTACAGTTAATACCAGAGAGTTGCAAGAAATTTCTCATCTTCTATTCATGCCTCCTCTAAGATTTTTTTTTTGGGGGGGGGCGGGTACTAGGAATCAAACTCAGGATCTTGCACTTGCCAGGCAGTCGTTTGTGCTGCTGAGCTATATCCACAGCCTTGCCTCTAAGAAATTTTATCACCTCCTTTTGAAAAATCCCTTTGCTACAAGCCTAGATAAGGGCTGTTGACTCACTGTGACCAATTATAATTGCCTGGTAGCTTACCTGTTAGTCTCCAGCCCTCTCATCTTCTGGCCATCAAACCTAATTATGACAGGTAACAGGTAACCTGAACTACAGCACGGTTCTGTACTTCCCTGAACAACACCTTTCAACCACCCCATGTTCTGCAAAGTCAAAACATCTTAACCTAACATCACATCTTGTATATTTCAGCTCTTCATTCAAGTCTGAAACCGGGCTGTTCGTAGGCCTACGTCCCATGAATGCTTTGTGTAGCCTGTCTCAGGCTGCTGGTTCAGCTCATGGAATGCTTTTCTCTGATCTTCATCGTGTTCTGACATTTATCCTTGTACCCCTAACAGTTTCTTGCATTTTCTTGTTTATGAGTTTTCCTCCTTATCCTAGAGGAGTGCAGGGCACAGATGTAATGGGCATTTTGCTTTACTGGAGAAAGTGAAAGAAGAAGTTCTTCTTTCTTATTGTCTCCTCCACAAACCCTCCCTGACTTTAGCTCTCCAGTAAATAGGAACCTTTCCCTCCTCTGCATACCTGACACCCTTCATTTCTACTTCTCCCAGATAAATTTTCACTTACTAATTCTTATCTTCCAAAAAATGTTGTAAGTCCCTGAGGGCTTTAGTCAGCTGAATCAGTCATTAATCAATGTAGTCCTGTACTGCATGGTATAGTACCTTGGTAATATTTATTTGATAAGAGAATAAAATTTATTTTAAGAACCAATGTTAGAAGACTTGGGAAATTTGAGCTGATATTTTGAGAGAAGTTTAGAGGATCTGTTTTTTTAGAGGCTGCCCTAAGTACTGTAGATGGTGGTCAATGAAATCTTTTTTATTATCATCCAGTGAATCAATAATTTATATACTCCTACTCTGAATATTGTGGCTAGTTTGTCAGTTCCTGTCTCCTTTTTGGTTGTGGGACAGGGGGTTTGGAAAGACTGTTGAGTATCTGATTGTGTTATCTCTGGGAAATTTTTATCATTGCTACTTCTTTACAACTAGCAGTAGCTACTAGCAAAAAGGAAAACAAAATGATGGAGATGACAAAAATTGGTACCACTCCAACTTTTTTCATTATATACCTCAAAGCAGAAATTTGCCAATGTCTGGTTTTTGAACACAGTAAACCCCTCAGTAGAATTATTACAAGTGCACAGTTTTTAATTTTTATTTTGTTTTTGAAAGAGGACAAAATTTTTATTTTGTTTTATTTTATTTGGACCTTTCCTCTGAGATGCTAAGTTCTAATCCATGTCACTGCTTAATCTTTCCATCTAAAGTACCTTTCAAATTAAATATAAATTGAAGTACATTGGTCATCATGTTCAAATATGGATTGATTTTATGAAAACCCACGGATCAACTTTGCAAGTTTAGTGTGTTCGAAATGCCTGAGTGATAACAGCTATAAACAACAATGTATTTTGAAAGCTAGCTTAACAAGTGCTGATAATTCTTTATCATTTCTCTTTCAGAAGAACGACTAAGCCTTTCCCTAGGGCAAGACAGAAGGTTGCAGAAAGCAGCAGCTCACATAACAGGGACCACTCGGAAAAGTACCAAATCCTTAGACCTAGGTAAGAGAAACAGTGAACATCTGCTTTAGGGCTGGAGATACGCTCTGTGATCGGGCACTTGCCTAGCTCACACATGCCATTGGATTCAATCCTCAGCAGCAAAAAGAAAAAAAAAATGTTTTAAATCTGACTTAGAGGAAGCCAATAGAAAAACAAGTTTATGTTTTTAAGCTTGTACCTGCAATATTTATGTGGCTATCTACAAAATAGTCCGTAATAATCAAATCTCAGATTGACTTTTCAGAAGCAAAATTCCAGACAAACAGTTCAATCACTGCCATGGTATAACTGTCCTCAGGAAAAATATCAATGGGAGAATTTCATCTTTAAGACTCCTGGGCTTCTGCTTTGGTTTGTTTCTTCTTCAAATTCTCTTCTGCTAACTCTTTCTCTCTCGCACTCCCTTAGGATTACTTCTGACACTTTGTAGTCATCTTTCTCTGCATTTGCATCAGATCTTCTCTTCAAAGGTTCCAAATTATTTCCTGTTACTATGAGTCACTAGGACTCCTATTGGCTGTTATACTAAGTTGAACCACAGAAAATTGCCAGCATTTGACTGCTTTTCACTTACGAAGATGTCAGTTTCACAGTTTAACCAAGTATATCAAATCTAATTTTTGTCTATTGAACCAAATGTCAGTAGAGCACTGTAGTATAGCACATGGGCCTGTAAAGCACAACCTGGAACTCAGCTCCTCTTCACTTACCTAAGTGGTGTCATCGGAAAATACAGTGAATTTTAAAGTTTATTACAGTAAACGACATATTGCCATTAATACTCTTCCTGGCTTTGCACACACTGATCCCATTATTCCTGCCACTCTATGAAACAGCTCTGATAGTTCTCTGTGACTACCCTTAGCTGCACTGGGTGGCTGCCCTGATATCCTGAATCCATTCAAAATGTTTGCCTTTCATGATCCTTTTGACTTTGGGGAAGAGGCAGAAGTCTTCTGGTGCCAGATCTGGTGAGAAAAGTAGATGAGGCTGCATCCTTTCGGTTCTACAAGACTGCCTCTCCATTGGATAGCTCTGGACAGCATCATTCACCACATTCTTTAATCACATTTTGTAAAGACACTCATGAAAGACAACTTCCAGAACTGCTTCAGAGAGTGACAGGAATAATGGGACAAGTGTGTTCAAAGGAAGAGGAAGTATTTGGAGGAGGATTAATGACAATATGTCTTACTTATAATATAAACTTTTTAAAAATTTAAATACTCATAATATATTTTGACCACTCCTTGTATGTTGAGAGCAAACTATTTAAACAAGACAAGCTTCGGTTTCTTTATGTACAAGACAAGATAATTATTAACTCATAAAATGACAAAAATGAACAGTAACTCATGAAAATTGTGTGTTTTACTAAAGTAAGGACTTGATAATTAGTGACCTTTATAATTATAAAAGGTTTTATCCCAAGGTAAAGGAATTTCAGGAATATCAGTTAATAAATGAAAAGGTTGTTTTCTGGGATTTTTTCCAGAAAGTTGCCTTCATGGATTCCTGAGCATATGTTTTAGAAATGATTGACATGCTCTGCTCAAAACTGAGATGATTACTGCAATGTTACTGTTTGTTGTTCATCAGCAAGTATAATCATTGTTTTAAAGTCTTAAAAAGCTAAATTTTGCACCACTCATGGAAATGAACCCAAAGTTTAAAAGAATATTATATTTTTGTAGGGCCTTTTTTTCATTCAAAATGTCTGTGAGTTAAAATTCAAGGTTCTGAGGATCTTTAGATTGGGGCTGCTTTGTCAAACTTTATCCCTGTCTTACTTTGGACTAGAGAGGCCTTCTATTTGAATAGAACCTTTGTCTCTGGAGAGCTGAGCAAGACCAAGGATGAACTCAAAAGTCCCAAAGAAATAGCAAAAAGTCCTGAGACCTAGCCTTAAGGAAATATATAATATTTCTTTGGGTTTCCTTCTAGATTTTCCATTTTATTCCACCAGCACAGGAAGGAAGGAGAAGGTTCCAGACAGAAGGTCTGCCCAGGAGTAAAACTCATCATCTCTGTTTACGAATCGGCCATCATTCAGAGCTGAGTGTGCCAGGTGTTGGCATAATTGGTAGATGTGGTACAGAAAGGATAGAGACATCTAGCAGGTCAAAATGATAAAACAGCCTCCTGATTCTATGTAAGCAGAGTTTATAATTTATGTAAGACTGAAGGGAAAGAAGTTTAATATTAGGCTGAAATCTATATAAGACCAACAAAAATACAGGCTGAGCACAGCTGCCGATGAACTCCTTGCTTTGCTACAAATGCTCTTCTGTTAATTCTTTCCTCTCTGATCTTTCTCTAGCATCCAAGAATGAAAAGGCTTTGGGCTACAAACTACAACACTGGGAGTACTCAAGGAAAGGACATTCATTCCTGAATAATTTGCACTTGAGGAATGGAGAACTGGTTATCCATCAAGCAGGGCTTTATTACATCTATTCCCAAACATACTTTCGCTTTCAAGAAAGTGAAGAAACTTCAGGAATGATTTCAAAGGAAGAGAACAGAAAGAAAAACAAACAAATGGTACAATATATTTACAAATTCACAAGCTATCCTGAACCTATAATGCTGATGAAGAGTGCTAGAAATAGTTGTTGGTCCAAAGATTCAGAATATGGACTATATTCCATCTATCAAGGAGGTGTGTTTGAGCTTAAAGAAAATGACAGAATTTTTGTCTCTGTAACTAATAAAAGCTTGATTGACTTGGACCAAGAAGCCAGTTTTTTTGGCACATTTTTAATTAGCTAAATGATCTGCAAAGAAAAAGCAATAATTTCAAAGTGACGATTCATCCTTTAGGATGAAAGATATGAAGATCCCTAGAATTTGTGAAGAGGAGCGGCCACAACTAGAAGTCTCTGAAACACACCTTTAACATCTCTGAAAATAAATCACTTTATTCTAAAAATTGAAATTTCCAAAGGGCCACTCAAGGCTCTACCTGATATCAGTTTGCTAGCAGAAATCTAGAAGATTCTCAGACATCAAACATTTATGAAACAATTAACATATTTGTATTTATCATCTAGTTCTTAGGGAGATTCTAGGAGAAAGACCAACAATCCAACTCTTAAACAGTCACCACAGCGGTAACTCAGGAACATTCTCATATTGAAAGAAAAAAAGCACCACTTGAAGATTCCCAAGGAGGCAGTCTTCCATCAAGACAACCAGTGTAGCCATCCAACTGTGGTGGAACACCTATCATCCCAGCACTTAGGAGGCAGAGGTAGGAGCCCAGGAGTTTGAGACCAGCCTGAGCAACACAAAAAGACCTCGTCTCAAGAAACAAAAAATGATATTTGCAATGTACAAAGGGGAATCTATAACATCCCATACCTTGCAGGATTTTCTCCTACACCTGGATTTGGTAAAAGTAAGGAAATTGCCTTCAAAGTACTATCATCTAATTTAACAAATAAATAATAAAGCTTTGTTCAGAGATCCAGCAGAAACCAATTGTGAGCAGCTTGTGCTTCTCCCTTCTGAAAGTCAGGCTGGCCAAAACCACGGAATGTATTTTTGCTAAAGGACTCTGTGATGAGTGGTCAGCTAATCAGAAATGAAGGAAGTTTTTCTCATCCGAACAGGAGAAGAAACAGGAAAGTGGAAATTATAAACACAGGCAATGATAAACAGCAGAAAAGAACCGAATGTTGTACTTCTGTCCACACCAAATATCATATTTATCTGCTTAAGACTATATCATTTATTTTGATCTGAAAAAAAAAAATACTCACTTTTATCTTCCCAAATCAAAATACAAGACGTTTCTTCCTTCTATATTCAGTCTCACAAGTCGTAGGGGGCATCTAATCTCTAATTGCTGTTGTTGTTTTTTTATACTTCTCATTTCAAAAGTCAGGCAGGCATTAAACAGTGCTTATTGTGGTAAAATATGCACAACATTTACCATTTTAACCATTTCAAGCAGACAACTCAGTGGCATTAAGTACTTTCACACTGTCAGGCACCTGTCACCACCGTCAGGAGTTTCCTATCACCCCAATATGAAACTGTGCCGCAGCCTAATGTACCCACGCTGGTACACGAAGACGCTCACTGAAGTGTGTGCTGTTGTTTGGATGAGTATTTCCCAAAGGTCTGTATTAAAGGCTTGTTGGCCAGAGTGGTGGTATTGGGAGGTCTGTGGGCACTGGAGCTGTGTCCCCAAGAGGGACTTGGGGACCCGATTATCTCTCTGGCTCCAAACATGACTGCTCACTCTGATGCTCAAACCTGCCATGAGGTGACTGTCTCACCAGAGGCCCACATCTATGAGTCCTCTAGACTTTGAGCTGGGACTCCAGGGCCATGAGCCAAAATACACTTTTCTTTACTTCTTCAGTAGCCAGGTATTTCGTTATAGGTGCAAAGCAGTTCTATGGTGTGATTTGGTCACCTAGGTCTTTTTTCAAAAAGCTCCTTTGAATTTAATTTTATAACCCACTGCAGACAGTTGGCCCTTCTGACTGCCTCACCCATTGTCTTTGCATAATCCTAATAAGAATATTACATACTAACAAATTGTTACCCAGTTACTGAAACTCTGTCTTCTCTCGTGAGAATATGATACCAGGACACATTTAATCTTGATTACAACTGTATATCAGGACCCAAATGTAGTCCCTACATAAAACGTATATTTGTTAATAATGTTCAAATGAATGAAAGTCTATCGTTATGGAAAAAATAGAGAAGAAAGATACTGAGAATTTTAAAAGTTCGAAGTGAAGAACGTTTTTAAAATTTAAAACTAAAACTGACTTTTTAAATAACACAGTACTTGGGACTGAAAAGAATTAATTTTTACTTTATTTTTATACTACAAGTCTAAAGTGTATATTACTTTTTCAATAAAATGACAATGTTAAATATATTGCTTTTGTTTGTGTATCTGTAGGTTTGTCTTAGAGTATCATGATAACTAAAATGGGGTAAAAGACTTCTGATCTCTTTTTCATTATATCTCTTCTCAAAGCTTCAAGTTTGGTCTTCATAGTGTCACTTAACTGCAATTTAACTTGCGTAGCATGTGACAGAGGAATCACATTTTATCTTTAAGCCTGGAAATATCCACTGGAATATCATTTTTCTTTCATATAGCTCACCCTTTTTCCTACAGATTTTAATGTCTTTTCAATGCCATATTCGCACGGGTATGTTTCTTTGCTCTTTCTTTTCCTCTAGTGGCCTATTTACACATCTTACACTTACATTATCCTTCTTTCAAAATTGTAGTGAAATATACAGTACAGAAAATTTACTATTTTAATCCTTTTCAGTGTATAATTCAGGGGCATGAAATACTTTGACATTATTTTGCAACCGTCACTACTATTCATCTCCAGAATGTTTTCATTATCCTAAACTGAAATTCCATATATAGAAGAGTTACACCCCATTCCTCCCTTCACCCAACCCCTGAAAACCACCTTCAACTTAATTTCTCTATAATTTAACTATCTTAAATACTGCATGTAAGTGGAGGTATAGACTTTGTCTTTTGTTTGTTTGACTGGTATAACGACTTCATGGTTCACCCATATTGTCGCATGTGTTAAAATTGCCTTCTTTTCTAAAACTGAATAAAATTCCATTTACTGTAATGGAGAGTTTCAAAATCACCATCCCTTAAGAGCAAACCTCCCTTGTGCATCTTTTTTTCATCCAAAAGTGTCAAACCACATTTGCTGATCAGAATAGATACAGCAACACCAAGGTGATGAAGACAATCTACCAAGTCCTAATAATGACCCTCCCACACCTCATTCCTCAGCATCATCATCCGACATAACCAGTGATGGGCAATGATCACTCCAATAGTCTTCCTATGTCTTTTTCCAGCTTTCTTTTACTTTCAGCATCCACTTCACACTGTGACTATGAGCTATCTTGTTTTGTCTTCATGTTTTTCAAATAAATTTATTTTGCATCTTATTTGTTGAGCTATACTTAAAATGTAAATATTATTTAACATAATGTTAAGTGAAATAAATCAGACACACAAGTTTTATAGTTTAACTTCTCTTATATGAGAAACCCAAAGTATAAATAATTTAAAGAACAAAATAAGAGATAGATAATGGGGAATAGATCTTTTGCAAATGAGAAGGGACTCTAGACATGGAGAAGGGAGGAAGGAGGGCTGTTATATGCATGTACCTACTCCCCACAATAATGTAACCATTATGTTCTGTAAATAGGTACTAATAATAGATAGGTACAATTTTTTGGCCCAGTGTAGAAAATGTACAAGCTACTACATACTAAGTCACTATTTGTTAAAAATTACATTAGTTGTTTTGTAACCTGAACTTTAAGTTACATTTCAATTTTTTTTTTTAAGTCCTATTTTCCAAAACCTGAGAAACACAAAGTGATAATAGTCCTATCTTCCAATCTAGTAGAACTAGCTCTGTGCCCCCTGGTGGACATATTCCGCCTTTTAGTACTAAAGTCAAACTTGCTAGTGCTTCTGTAACTTCAGTGAACCTTTAGCATCACCTGCAGAGCTTGCTACAACACAGATTTCTCTAACTCACCTTACCTATGCATATTCAAGGATTTTGTATAATTCAGTAAGTCTGCATTGTGGCCTGAAAACCTGCATTTCTAACATGTTTCCAGATGGACCTGATGATTCTGGACCACAGAACACTCCTCATTTATCTTTTATTAGTACATGTTTGCCATGCGTAATGAATACATTCCCTTGTGGGAAGTTGGTACTTGCGCATATCACATTTTAATGCTTGTCACTTCCCCTTCCCACCCGCCCCTCTATTTCCATCTCTTAGTCCCCTTCCCATCTGCAAAAAGACAACCTCCCTGCTTCCTATTAGCTTTTATTTTGCTCTTTATATTTTGGGCTCCATATGTTAGAGAGACCATGCAATATTTAATCTTCTGAGTCTGATTTATTTCACTTAGCTTTATGGTCTCAAGGTGCATCCATCTTCCTGTGAATGACTCAAATTTATCTTGCTTTATGGCTGAGTAGTACCCCACTGTGCAGATACCATATTTTTAAAATCCATTTATCTGTTGATGGACATACAGGCTGTTTCCAAGATTTAGCTATTATGAGTTGCACTGCTATAAACATGGTATGTGTGTGTCACTGAAATGTGATGTATTTAACTCTTTTAGGAAGATACTCAGAAGGGGGGCTGGGGATTTAGCTCAGCGGCAAAGCGCCTGCCTGGCAAGCGCAAGGTCATGAGTTCGGTTCCCAGTACCGGAGAAAAACCAAAAAAAAAAAAAAAAAAGATACTCAGAAGGGGACTACCTGGGTTAAATGAGGTTACTATATTGAGTTTGTTGAGGAATCTCCATACTGATTTCCATAGTGGTTGAACTAGTTTGTGTTCCCACCCACAATGTAGAAAGGTCTCTCTCACTGAAACCTCACCAGCAGTTGATGTTTTTTGATTTCTTGAGGATATCCATTCTTTCTGGACTGAAGTGGCTCAAGATGGTGTCATTTGCATTTTCTAATGACCAGAAAGGGGTGTTGAATATTTTTTCATGTATTTATTGGCCATTCGTACTTCTGAGAAGTGTCTGTTAGTTTCAGCTGCCCATTTTTCAATGAATCTTTTACTTGGGGAGGGGGGGTCTAATTTTTTGAGTTCTTTAAAAATTCTGAGTAGTCTTCTGACAAAAGAATAGCTGGAAATTCTGCAAGATGTTTCTTCAACTCTGTTGGCTGTTTGCTTTTCTGTGCAGAAACTTTTTAACTTTATGTAATCCCATTTGTTGATTCTTGGTGTTATATCATATACCATTAAGGTTCTGTTAAAAAAGTCCTTACCTATGCATATTCAAGAGTTTTGTCCATTTTATCTTCCAGCAGGGGCTAGGGATGTACCTAAGCAGCTCAAGTACCTGACTAGCAAGGTCATGAGTTGGATTTCCAGTACCAAAAAAAAAGTAGTATCTTCCAGCAGATTAAGTGATTCTGTTAAAACATCTAGGTTTTTTATTTTATTTTAGTGCAAGGTGAGAGATACAGGTCTAGATTCATTCAGTCTTCTGCATATAAATAACTAGTTTCCAGTCACCTTTTGTTAAAGAGGCTACTTTTTTTCCAGTGTATGTTTTTGGCCCCCTTAACAAAGGTTAGTCCATGGCCATACCACCCTGAATGTGCCTGATCTTGTCTGACCTCAGAAGCTAAGCAGGGTCAAGTCTAGTTAGTACTATAGACTTCCTGGAAACATTGGGTGCTGTAGGCTTTTGGCCTCCCGCCCCTTTTTCTTGCCTTCCGCCTGGGAATCCCGGGTGCTGTAGGCTTTTGGCACTAGATGTGGTGGCACATGCCTGTAATCCCAGCACTTGGGACACTGAGACAAGAGGATTGCTGTGAGTTCTAGGCCAGTCTGTTGTACATAGTGAGTTCAAGGCCAGGCTGAACTACATAGTAAGACCCTGTCTCAAAAAAAAAAAAAAAAAAAAAAAATTAGATGGCTGAATGTTCCTTGGGAAGTTTCTGTGTCCTCTATTCTATTCCACTGATCAATATGTTTGTTTTTAGGCCAGAACCTTGCTGTTTTTATTACTGTAGCTTTGTGATATAATTTGAAACCCAGGATTATGATGTCTCCTGATTTGCTCTTGCTATTTTGGCTCTCTTCTTGTTCTGAATGAATTTAGGATTTTTTTTCTAGTTTTATGAAAAATGTTGTTATTTTGAATGGGATTGCATTAAATCTATATACCAGTTTCTGTATTATGGCCATTTTGACAATATTGGTTTTGCTTACTGAGGAACAAAGGATATCTTTTTATTTTCTGATGATGTCCTCTTAGATTTCCTTTTAAGAGTACCGTAATTTTCACTTTAGAGATTGTTCACTTTCTTTATTAGGTTAATTCTTAAGTATTTAATTTTTTAATGGTATTGTTTTCTTGATTATTTTTTAGGGTGTTCATTTTTGATGTATAAGAACACTTGATTTTTGTGTGTTGATTTGTATCCTGCTACCTCGCTCAGTTTATTAGATCTAGAGGTCTTGGTGGAAGTTTTTGTGTCTTCTATGGAAAAGATCATTTCATCTATGAGTAAGGATAATTTGATTTGTTCATTTCCTATACATATAGCTTTCATTTCTTCTCTTGCCTAATTGCTCTGGCTGATGTTTTGAGTACTACATTCAACAGAAATGGTGATAGTGGACATTTTGTCTTGTTTCCGATTTAGAGGAGAAGATTTCAGTTTTTCTTCATTTAATATGATGTTGGCAATGGACTTGTCATAAATGGCTTTTGCCATACTGAGATAAGGTCCCTCTATATCTATTTTTTTAGAGTTTTAATCATGAACAAATGTTGGATTTTGTCACAGGATTTTTCTGTGTCTGTTGATCATATAACTTTTGTCTGCCTCTGTTATGTCATGTATTCTATTTATTGGTTTTTGTATGTTGTACCATCCTTGCATACCAGGGATAAAATCAACTTGATCTTGATATATGATCTTTTTAATTATTTGTTGCATTCTGTTTGCCAGTATCTTGTTGTTGAATTTTGCATCTGTGCTTATTATGGGCTAGAGATATCTCTTTAAAAAAAAAAATCCTTGTCTGGTTTTGGTATCAGAGTAATGATAGCTTCCCCAAATGAGTTTGGC